TCCCTGTCATCAGCGCTCGCTCGGGCCCCGCCAGTCCCGGAATGCAAGCGCCGGCCCAACAGCCTGGCTTCCATTGCCCGGGGCTGGGCCTTGCCCCGGGCCTCTCGGCCTCGCCCCCCGCGCCCCCCGGCCGCCCCCGCTCCTTGAGAGTGGCAGCCCCTCACCCCGCGACTTACCCCACACCCCACTTTCCAGAACCCCCATATGGGCGCTCACCGCCCGCCCGCACAGCTCGAACAGGGCGGGGGGAGCGTTGGGGCCCGAGGCCGAGCTCTTCGCTGGCGCCGCCTCCCGGGACGTGGCCTCCATGGTCGTTGCCGCCGCTACCTCACAGAACCAGCAACTCCGGGCGCGCCAGGCCTCGGGCGCCGCCATCTTGGGGAGGTGCGCGAGCCCGCTAGTGACACAGGCGCGTCGCCATCTTGAGAAGGTCCGCAGTTAGGGCAGGTCCATCAGCAAAGTAGGGGAGAATGGCGATTATGATAAAGGACCGTCAGAGAAACCCGCATATTTTCCAAGTCTACCTAAGAACCACCAGTTTAAGTAAAATTATAGGTCAATAAAGTTGGGTCTCTCGTGCCCAAGGGGATAGCTGTTGGCAACGCCGCCGCGGGTGCACACACCAGCTACCCCTGCGTTCTGTCTTTGGCCGGTAGTACGTCCCAATCGGGGCGGGGGTTCGCGCCTACGCGGAGTCTGCCGCACTTCCGGCTAGATCGCCGGATATCCGTTGAGTGACCCTTACAAGTCCTTCTTGGTCCTGAAGCGGACTTCTTTCCACTGTCGTTGCTGATCTTGAGTTCAGAACCGGCGCCAGGCATGGGGCTGGAGGACGAGCGGAAGATGCTGACCGGCTCCGGGGATCCTAAGGAGGTGAGGCGAGGCCGCAGACGCACCCTCTTCGCGAGCCGGAGACCGCGGACCGAGCGCGCCACGACCCCGCTGGGGCCTGAGTTCTAGACGGGGGTCGGGGAGAGCTGATGCCTGCTCCCCTTCAAAACTGGTCAAGGGATTTTGAGCAAGTCGGGGACTAGTTATTCTCTGGGTGGCCCCGGGCTGTGAGCGTGATGATGAAGGTCTAACGCGATCGGAAAACGTGGTGCAGACTTTTGTTTTTAAAAATTACTATATTTCTACAGATGGTATTTCTAGGCAGGTGTTGTGACGCACTGGTTTGTCAGGTTAGCGAACGGACCGACCAATTTTCTTCCTCACCCCAGTTGGGGTCATCCATCGGCATCACGTCTTGCTTTAGAAGTTCGAGAGAATCTGGCCGTAACATTAGTTCTGAGAGCAAGTGGATTTGTTTTCTTAGAGGCGTCTTTGGGCTTTACGTAGGAATGTGCAGTGTAATTCTGTGATGAAGGTGGGAGGTCTTTCCCAGAGGGAAAATGCAGGTACAATAATAATAACCAGCATTTACTGAGTACTTAACTATTCCAGAGGAGCCCTGCCGCTGTGCTGGTTACGAGTTGGGCTGCGATCCGCATGGTCAGCATTTCGAAACCACCAGCAGCTCCGCGGAGGAAAGACTGGGCTTTCTACTCCCAGACTCTCACTGGGGAGGCCCGCTATGAGTCAGCATTGATTCGATGGTAGTGAGTGTTTTTTGTTATTGTTGTTAATGTTTCCAGACGTTTTCAGTTACTAAGTCTGTAATCCACACAGTATTCCCAGGAGGGAGGCATTAGTTTGATGGCGAGGTTAAATGCTTTGCCAAGGGCACACAGCTAATAAATGGTGAAAATGGGACTAGAGCCCGACTATTCGGTACAGAAGCTTTGGGTTGGTTTCCTGTCTATTTATTTATTTTTCCTATCCCTTCTCTGGGTACTTCAGAGCAGCCGTTTATGGGCTTTGGGGATCATAATAGCTGGAAACTTGCTTATCCCATAATGATTTTTCCTAGTCTTGTTTCTGGGGACGTGGGTTACCTGGTAGCCTCAACCCTGGGCTCGAACATGAAACGTGATGATGATGTTCTGTTCTGCAAGGGCCTGCCGTAAGTGGGAGCTGCCTGGAAGGCAACTTTCCAACGACCACAACAATCTTTCAGAAAAAAGTGGTCCAGCTTTATACCTGAAAGGGGAGAAGAGCGCCACCACAGCAGTCGATGAGAACAAGAAAGCAATTTCAAAATGAAGGAAACTAGGGATTTTAGGAGCCAGGCATGATCTTTTTTTTTTTTTTTTCATGACCGTTGTTTTTGACTAGAAGCTTATATTGTTTTCCCTCTAGAACAGATCATTCTAATTT